GAAAAAAACGGAAATAAATCTACTTTTTCATATTAGGTGTTGGAATTAATTCGTAGCGTTTTACAAGTGATGGGAAGTACTTTCATTAATGTATTTTTTAATGCTCATGTGAAATAAATAACATTCTTTCATTAAAAACGCTACGAATTAATTCCAACACCTAATATATTTATTTAATAAAATTTTACTTAATAAATGGACAGAGAGAAAAAGAGAAGAGTGACATATTATAATATATTTAATAAACTCATGATATAAATGAAGGATTCCTTTATGAACTGTTCCTTTGAATGAAGAAGCCATTAAATTTCAGGTTCAATGCAATTTTGTATAGCTCTTTTTAAATGTACTAGTCTTGATCCTCTATCTAGCCAGTTTTTTGGAGGCCAAAACATATTAGTTAGTAATTTCATCATCAGATTTATCAATCCATTTCACAGGAATTACTGCAATTATTTCTCCTTCGTCCTCCTGTTCCTCTCCCGTGAAAATGATCACCGCATATTGGAAGAAACAACATGAGATAAATAAATATTAATTTACAAATACACAGAGAAACCATAATTAATAAGTGGAAAAAATTAAAAATATAATAAAAATCCTATCATAAAAATAAAAATAAGAAACCACATGTATAACACGTTACAAAACGAGTAGGGTATACAAAGGAACTGTGTGCAGGAAGAATACATAGATAGGAATTTTCATTTTCAAGAATAAGAACACATTTCACAATCGCATCATTTATTTCCCAAGATGTATTATAACTATTTTAGCTAATTGAGAAACAAGAACAATGCCAATAAAGGACGAATCAATTGGATATTGATAATAATTATTCTGTACCTCAAATCGCTGCCTACGAAGATATTACAGTATCTTCAAAATGAACAATATTTCGTAACAGTACCACAGAATCGTCCTCAGTTTTAAAACAATTATCAGGATCAACACATCTTAATGTAAAATTATTATTTATGAGTATTTTATAATGTTGTCCTTCAACAATTTCATTCGGATCAATATGATTTTCTGTCAATTATATACCCTCAATAATATTCTTCGGCTCTGACAAGCGCTCATTAGTTTCAAAATCTCTTCTTGATAATTGTTGTAAAGGATGGTATCCTGATCGTAATGACTGCTTCATTGTCTTCAAATAGTTTTCATATGGGAAAGCACTAAATGAGTCCAAGCATCCATGCTCATCGCATTCATCTACTAGATGAGCAAGGCTATGCACATTAAACGACAAAAGATTTCACGGCTAAAGATTTGGCTATTACACTGTACAAACAAATTCAAGAATTCCCTAGCAGTATTTCTCATTGCAATGTTTTGCACAAGTGAAGGAGAAGCTAAAATGAAAATGCTACTATAAAGAAGTAAGAAGGTATGATAAGTTCGATTAGGGGTATGATCCTTCATTATTTTAACATCATCATATAGTAAAAATCTTCTGAGCTCTGTAGCTTTAAAATGAGTAACTTTTAAAATCGATAGAGTTTTCGATTGAATTCTTTGGGTATGAATTGTCCAATCCATACTGAAGTATTTTTAAATGCTACTATGTCTTCATCTCTTATTTTACCTCGGTTTCTTATTTCCAATAATCGCATCAAAAATCTTTTCATCACACCAACGCATACAAGATGAAGGTATTCAAGTCTAAAATGGGATACCATTCCAATATGGAGTCGCTCTTCTAATGGCGATAATCCTAAGTGATGCTCAGGATTTCTCCTATCAATAAATGATTGGTTTGTGCGCTTCTGTCCATTATTCAAATAAACCATCCTATTATGATACCGAAAGTGGCTATGACTCTGGGAGTGGCTATGACTCTTTTCCAAGGCTCGATTGAGCGGGACGATTGACGCGAAATACACAGCCTCTCATCTCCAAGTCACACACAGTTACTTCCGAGTTGGTACTCCCGGAAACGTCTCAGAACGGCTGAACATTGTGGTGGCGCGCATCCTAGAACTGCTGATCCTCTTGGCGCCTTGATCCCTCTGTGGGAGGTTCTTTGGTGCTGAAGTCGAGATCGGCCCTTCTAAGGAAGCTTTATCGACACAGCATAGCCACGAGTCAGTGCCGTAAAGGCTAAATGGCTCTTATGTGGCGACAACAATTGTGACGGAACCGTGCGTTTCAACCCTGCCGTCGCTGCCTCCTCTCCCCTTTTTTACGGAAGGAAAAGCGATGGCGGTGGGTGAAGGATCCCACTGGGACCGACACAGTTCGAGATAAGCTCAGGCTTTGGCAGAACCAGGGTGTCCAACGAGCGGATGAATCATATATATACTAGGTGTATGGATAAGTTTTTTCCGGTTTTTTGGTAAAAAAAAAATACGTAATTTTCAAGGGAAATTAATTTAATTTTTTTTTATTCAAAATATTGGCCATCGGCTTCTACATATTTCGCCCATCTTTCAGGTAATTTATGAATACCATGCCAGAAAAACTGCTTGTCTTTTGCGGCAAACCATTCGTCGAGTCATTTTCCAACTTCCTCGAAATTGCTGAAGTGCTGCTCTGCGAGCGCGTGCCCCATTGATGCGAAGAGGTAATAGTCAGATGGCGCCAGGTCTGGGGAGTACGGCGGGTGCGGAAGGATGTCCCATCCAAGCGATTTCAAGGTGTCTTTCACTGGTTTTGCTGTGTGAGATGGCACATTGTCGTGTAACAAAATCACTTTGCCATGTCTTCTGGCCCATTCCGGTCGTCTTTCGATTAATGCGTGGTTTAAATTAATCATTTGTTGGCGATAGCGTTGTGTATTAACGCTATCGTTTTCGCCGGGCTTCAAGAGTTCATAATACACAATATCGCTCTGGTCCCACCAGACACAGAGCAATTTTTCGTCACCCGTCACAATTCGATGCAAAAATGATTTCCTTTCGTAGCGTTGAAGCAGCATTTCACAAGTGACTTTGCGATTTTCCATTTGACATTCATTCAAATTGTGTGGGACCCATTTACCGAGTTTATTGATCTTTCCCATTGCTCGTCAACGTCTGCTAATTGTTTCTGATACATGTAATGCTTCTGCTAATTGCCGTTGAGTTTGAGTTGGGTCTTCATCCAATAACTCCTGCAATTGCTCGTCTTCGCATTTTTGTGGTCTACCAGAGCGCTCACTGTCTTTCACATTGGCCATCTCTTAGTTAAACCGGAAAAAACTTATGCATACACCTGGTATATATATATATATATATATATTTATTTATTTATTTATTTATATTTATATACTTTTCAGCTCACATCAAACACCGATGAATAAATGCTTAATGGTAAGCGTTTCCAAATAATGGCGCTCGTTTAAAAATTAAGATGTAGAAAGTCGTGCTTATGGTTTGCATGGCTGCGGAACGTAAATCAAGCAGTCTCGAACGACGCATCCAGGGTACCTATTGCCCCTCTGGAGTAGTCAAACTTAGTGGCGTATAGATGGGTACGCCATTCGACTTCTTCCTTCTACCAAGAAAAGTAAATAATCATATCGAAGTAAAAAATAACAACAACAGTAAAGTAAAGCAAAGTTTGAACACCAAGGCTGGGAAAATAGCCTAGATTAGCAAGGGTCGAAGTATCAGAATAGTCCTGGAGAGGTGTGACGCTCCAAAAAGGGTCAATAAAGACAGTTAGCAAACTTCGCGCTGTCAAAATAGCCCGTGCGATGTGATAATCTGGTGAACCAATATGCACACCAACAAAAAAGACAAGTGACGAAAACAGACAAAAGGTACCATCGTGAAGTCAGCATAGTCCTACAAAGATGCGATTTGCAAAGATATGAATCGCAAAGACAAGGCATTCATCCAGCGGCATTCATCCAGCTCCAAGTCAGTAAGAGTTAGGATACTGCGGCTGAATAGGGCGGTCAGCTGCGATAACAGGTGAGGTGCGTCAGCTCATCGCCGAAAAGCGACTTGATATCCTGTTATTACAGAAACATATGTCAAGAAGCAAGGCAAGAGCCACTATTTACTTTTTATGGGTTAGGAACGGAGATGAAAGTTGCTGCAGGGCACTTGAAACGATGATAGCGATCAGCAACCTTTTTTTTTTTTTTTTTTTTTTTGATAACGGAGGGGAAATGCTTGACGCATACCCCGGGCTTCGGGGGAGAGCCCGGGTTTATGTGGGGCTTGCACCCACTAAAACCCCTCCGGGTGTCCTTACCTGGCCTTGTATGAGGGACTCCCGGGAATGCATGCAGCATACTTCTGGGAGCCCCTCAGGTCAGTCGGCTTATTGCCGACTTGGCCTCGATTCCCGCCCGGGGATTTTTAGGACATCGTCTTATATGACGACGTGACCCCGGGCGGTGCTGGGCACCTTCGACCCTATATTCGGAGACACCACCCCCTGCGCCCGCCATCCCGGTTGGTGTTGGGGGGCGGGAGTTGGGGATTACGGCCCCCGCCGCGCCATCAGAAGTTTGGCGCCCCTCAGGCTTCGGCGCCACGAGAGGAAGTCTCGCGGCGCACCCCTCGCGCGCGGCGGTGCAGGGCTCCCGGCCCAGTCGCGCATTCGACGCGGCCGGAGGATGATGAGCCACTGCACCCCGCGCGCGCGGAGGATCATCCTGTATCCGGCGGCGGAGCGACTCTAGGGTCGGCGATCCACCGCCGCTTCACTGCGCCCTGCGTCCGAGACGCGGAGCCGTCGCTGATGGTGGTGGCGGCGGAGGTGGAGGGGTCACTGACCCCGACACTCCCGCGCACCACCCCACCGTCCTCCTCTTCCGTCCTCTCTGCAATGGGGAAAGGAGGTCGCCGCCGTTCTCGCCCCGTGGGGCGGTCGCGGCGGCGGATACGCGCGAGGGGTGACCCGGGGCGCGAGCGATCCGGCTGGAGCCGGCGCCCGCGTTGACCCCCAATGCCACCACCCCTCGCATCTCTTTCCCCCCCCGTCAGCCCCGGAGGCGGCGGGGGCGGGAGAGGGCCCCGACCTCCCGTTGCATTCTCCCTCTGCCTTTCAGCCTCCTCCTTCTACAACATCACCCGATCGCAGAAGGAGGAGAAGGCCCTCCAAGCACTCTCCCTGCCGACTATCTCCTTCACGACAGCCGGCAGTGAGAGATCCTCCTTTATCTCCCGGACCAGGACACCGCGCTCGCCCGCAGAGCAGGCCTCCAACGTATGCTGCGCGGTGTCCCGGTCCTCATCGCAGTGGCGATAACGAGTGGTCGGCTCCTTACCTATGCGACACAGGTACTCCTCGAAACATCCGTGTCCGGTGAGCACCTGCGTCGCGTGGAACGATAGTCCGCCCCATCCCCTATCTACCCATTCCTCGAGGCAGGGGAGGATGGCCTTCACGATCCGAGCGCCCGTTGTCGGCGGGTCGTTTTCGAGAGTGGCCCGCCGACGGGCGTTCCTCCTCAGTCGGTCAGCGGTCATCGGGGTTAAGATCCCCCCCCCCCCCGAAGCCGAATGGCCTTCACCCTGGCGAAGGTTTCCGCCAGGGCGTCAGCCACTCGGCAGGGGGGATCCCCGCGAGGACCATGGCGGCCGCATACGACACCGTCCTATAGGCCCTACAGATACGCAAGGCCAGCCGCCGTTGCACGCTGTGCAACTTCTGCTTTATTCGGCGGCTGGCCAGGGCCTTCCACTCCAAACCGGGACCCCGTAAAGGGCCCCGGACAGGACGGCGTGCATATACGCCCGCCTGACCAACTCGTTCGGACCGTGGAGGTTGGGCATGAGGACGAGCAGAGCATCTGCTCGGCGGCCCAACCATGGGGCTAGCTTATGGAAATGTTCGACGAAGCCCCAGCGACCATCCCCGGTGAGGCCCAGATATTTGATCGTTGGCCTCACCGGGACGCAGACATCGTCCATCACTATATGTGCCTGAGGGGGCACCACGCTCTTTCCATCGTGGAAGATTAAAACTTCCGATTTAGCGGGGCCCAACTCCTTAATGGAGCCGACCATACACGCCACTGCGACGTTTACCATACCGACGGCTCTCTCCCAGGTCGTGCCCCCGGCCACCACCAACGTGTCGTCCGCGTAGCAGACGATGTGGCAGCCGAGGGGTAGGGCCGCACGGAGAACATGATCGTAGGCAACGTTCCAAAGTAGGGGGCCCAACACGGACCCCTGTGGAACGCCACACGACACATCCCTTCGCTGCTGGAGTCCCATTTTGTTATGGAACTCCAGCTACCTGTCCCGGAAATAGTCCTCGATTATAGCGACCAGGTAGGAGGGCAAGAGATGATGTCCTCTCATCGCCCCCATTACCCGGCCCCATGGGATGCTATTAAAGGCATTGGCGATATCCAGGGACACCGCCAACGTCACCTCCCCTCCCGCGGTCATCTGCTCCGAGAGGGCTCGCACTTGCCTGACGGCGTCGATCGTCGACAAGCCCTCCCAGAAGCCGTACTGACCGCGGGATAGATTGGGACCATCCCGGGACAGGTGCCGGACGATGCGGGCAGTGATGTCTCGCTCCAGCAACTTCCCCGCATCGTCCAGCAGGTATAACGGCCTATAAGCGGAGAGACTCTCCGCTGGCTTGCCCTCTTTGCGGAGGAGAACAAGCCTGGCCCTTTTCCACGACCTGGGAAATATGCCGTCTCTGAGGCAGCTCGTGAAGAGCGCCTCGGCGGTCACTTCCACCTCCGCGTCGGTGCCCCGCTGTCTGCGGCGGGTGTACCTCCGTCGGGCAGCTACGGTGGCCCGTCGTAGCTCAGCTATCTCCTCGGACCACCAGTAGACTGCCCTCCTCGCCACAGGATGGCAGCGGGGCATCGACGCGTCGCACGCGCGCGACATGGCGTCCCCGAGCCATTCGGCCTCCTCATCCACTGAGCGAGCCAGATTATGTTCCGGCCAGGTGGAGGAGAGGAGGCTCACCTCGAGGGCGCCGGGATCCAATTTGCGCAGGGCCCATCGACGTTCCAACTCGTGTCGGCGGCGTCTTCGTGACACCTCCGCGGGGTGGACACCAGCTCCATACGGACCAGGTGATGGTCCGTAAGTTCTCCTAGGGAGCTGGTGTCCACATGCCATCCTCGTATCTTGATGGCAGCCGCGAAGGTCGCCCACGTCAGGTCGACGATGGACTCCCCCCAGGCCCCCATGAAGGTACTGGCACGGCCCCTATTCAATAAGACTAGACCGTGCCGCGCCACCCACAGCAGGGTGCTGTCGCCCCTGGACTCGGTGGATGGGGAAT